CATTGTGACCCCATCTTGTTCCCATTGTGTCCCCATTGTGTCCTCATTATCACCCTATGGCAGCCCCATTGTGTCCCCATTGTGACCCCATCTTGTTCCCATTGTGTCCCCATTATCACCCCACGGCAGTCCCATTGTCTTCCTGTTGTGTCCCCATTGTATCCCCATTGTGTCCCCATTGTGTCCCCATTTTGTCCCCATTGTTTCCCCATTTTGTCCCCATTTTGTCCCCATTGTATCTCCATTTTGTCCCCATTGTTACCCCATTGTATCCCCATTGTGTCCCCATTGTATCCCCATTGTATCCACATCATATCCCCATTGTATCCCCATCATATCCCCATTGTGTCCCCATTGTATCCCCATTGTATCCCCATTGTGTCCCCCTTGTGTCCCCATTGTATCCCCATTGTGTCCCCATTGTATCCCCATTGTGTCCCCATTTTGTCCCCATTGTTTCCCCATTTTGTCCCCATTGTATCTCCATTTTGTCCCCATTGTTACCCCATTGTATCCCCATTGTATCCCCATTGTATCCCCATTGTATCCCCATCATATCCCCATTGTATCCCCATTGTATCCCCATCATATCCCCATCATATCCCCATTGTGTCCCCATTGTATCCCCATTGTGTCCCCATTGTGTCCCCAGGTTCTCTTCACCGGCCTGGTGGCCTCAGAGGCCATGGAGGCGGCCCTGGGCTCCCTGGGGGGGTCGGTGGCCACCTCGGTGTTCGACTGCACCCACCTGGTCACCGACCGCATCCGGCGCACCCTCAAGTTCCTGTGCGCGGTGGCGCGCGGCGTCCCCATCGTCACCCCCGAGTGGATCCATAAGGTCCTATGGGGGTCAGGGGGCACCTGGGGGCATGGGGGGACATGGGGGGCATTGGGGACGTGGTGGCCATTGGGGACAATGGGGGACCTTGAGGACATGGGGGACTTGGTGGCCACTGGGGACAATGGGGGACCCTGGGGACATGGGGTTCCTTGGGGACAATGGGAAGACCTTGGGGACATGGGGGCCCTTGGGGACAATGGGACGAGCTTGGGGTCATGGGGGCCCTTGGGGACAATGGGAAGACCTTGGGGTCATGGGGGCCCTTGGGGACAATGGGAAGACCTTGGGGACATGGGGGCCCTTGGAGACAATGGGAAGACCTTGGGGTCATGGTGGCCATTGGGGACAATGGGAAGACCTTGGGGACATGGGGGCCCTTGGGGACAATGGGAAGACCTTGGGGTCATGGTGGCCCTTGGGGACAATGGGAAGACCTTGGGGTCATGGTGGCCCTTGGGGACAACGGGAAGACCTTGGGGTCATGGTGGCCATTGGGGACAATGGGAAGACCTTGGGGACATGGGGGCCCTTGGGGACAATGGGAAGACCTTGGGGTCATGGTGGCCATTGGGGACAATGGGAAGACCTTGGGGTCATGGTGGCCATTGGGGACAATGGGAAGACCTTGGGGACATGGGGGCCCTTGGGGACAATGGGAAGACCTTGGGGACATGGTGGCCATTGGGGACAATGGGAAGACCTTGGGGACATGGTGGCCATTGGGGACAATGGGAAGACCTTGGGGACATGGTGGCCACTGGGGACAATGGGAAGACCTTGGACCTCTGGGAAGACCTTGGGGCCATGGGATGGGATCCTTGCATTCAGTGGGGACGGGGTGTCCCTGGGGGCCCCTACGGTGCCACCGCCTCGTCCCCGTTGTCCCCAGAGTGCCACCAGCGGCCGCATCCTGGCCCCCGGCCCCTTCCTGGTGCAGGACCCAGAGCAGGAGCAGCTCTTCGGCTTCAGCCTGGCCCAGGCCCTGCAGCGCGCCCGCCGCCACCCCCTGCTCCAGTGTGCCCAATGGGTCCCCATGGGTCCCTAATGGGTCCTAATGGTCCCCAATGGTCCCTAATGTCCCCAGTGATCCAGAGGTGCCCATTGGGTTTAAGGGGTCCCCATTGATGATGGGGGTCCCCATTGGGTTTGGGGGTGCCCATTGGGTTTAAGGGTTACCCACTGATGATGGGATCCCCATTGGGTTTAAAGGGTGCCCGTTGGGTTTAAGGGATGCCCATTGGATTTACGGGGTACCCACTGATGATGGGGGTCTCCATTGGGTTTAAGGGTTACCCATTGGGTTTAAGGGGCACCCACTGATGATGGGGGTCTCCAGTGGTCCCCAGTGGTCCCCAATGGGTCCCCATTGAGGACTCAATGCTGGACACGTCACCCAATGGCCTCATGGTGGGCGCCATTGACTTGGTCCCATCGGGGTCGCCTCTCAAGTGGCCTCGTCCCCATTGTCCCCCATTGTCCCCTTTGTCCCCCATTGTCCCCATTGTCCCCCATTGTCCCCTCAGGGCTATGAGATCCACGTCACCCCCAGCGTCCGCCCCGAGCCCGAGCACATGAAGGACATCATCACCTGCAGCGGGGGCACCTTCCTGCCCACCATGCCCAGCACCTATAGGGTGAGGGGCCAGCAATGGGGCAGGGGCCCCCAAAGCCACCAGGGAGGGGATGAAATGGGGTCCCCCAAGCCTTTTGGGGGGGATCTGGGTGGTCCCAATGAGGGTTGGGGGGGGGGGGGCCTGGGGGATGTGGGGGGGGGGTCACAGGGGTCTTGGAGGATCCCCATTGGCATTGGGGGATCCCACTGAGGTTGGGGTCTGCCTTGGGTTGAAGGGATGCCCATTGGGTTTAAGGGTGCCCATTGAGGTTGGGGGTGCCCCTTGGTGCCAAGGGTGTCCATTGGGTTTAAGGGGTGCCAATTGATGTTGGGGTCTCCATTGGGTCTAAGGGGTCTCCACTGGGTTTAAGGGGTGCCCACTGATGTTGGGGTCTCCATTGGGTTTAAGGGGTGCCCATTGATGTTGGGGGTCTCCATTGGGTTTAAGGGGTGCCCATTGATGTTGGGGGGCTCCATTGGGTTTAAGGGGTGCCCATTGATGATGGAGTTCTCCATTGGGTTTAAGGAGTACCCATTGATGTTGGGGTCTCCACTGGGTTTAAGGGGTGCCCATTGGGTGTAAGGGGTACCCATTGATGTTGGAGGTCTCCATTGGGTTTAAGGGGTACCCATTGATGATGGAGGTCTCCATTGGGTTTAAGGGGTGCCCATTGGGTATGGGGGTCCCCATTGTGTTTAATGGGTCCCCATTGTGTTTAAGGGTTGCCCATTGGTGATGAGTGTCTCCATTGGGTTTAAGGGGTGCCCATTGGGTATGGGGGTCCCCATTGTGTTTAATGGGTCCCCATTGTGTTTAAGGGTTGCCCATTGGTGATGAGTGTCTCCATTGGGTTTAAGGGGTGCCCATTGGGTATGGGGGTGCCCATTGTGTTTAAGGGGTGCCCATTGGTGATGAGTGTCTCCATTGGGTTTAAGGGGTGCCCATTGTGTTTAAGGGGTCCCCATTGTGTTTAAGGGGTGCCCATTGTGTTTAAGGGGTCCCCATTGTGTTTAAGGGGTGCCCATTGTGTTTAAGGGGTGCCCATTGCCATCAGTGGCTGCTGTACCCCCCCTCACCCCCATTTCCCCCTCCAGCCCCGGCGCGTGGTCGTGTCCTGCCCTGCGGACGCGTGGTGCTGGGCCCCGGCGCTGAGCTCCCGCCTGCCCTTGGCCTCCCCGGAGCTGCTGCTCACGGGGCTCCTGCGGCAGCGCCTGCAGCTCCAGCCCTTCCTCCTGCCCCCCCCCACCGAGACCCCCCCCCCACGCAACCGGGGCCCCCCCAGGACCCGGCGGCGCCCGGTGGGGCCCCCCCAATAAAGAGCAGCACCAAAAGAGGCTGATTTTGGGGGGGGGGGGGGATTGGGGGTGTCCCCTCTATGGGGTGGGAGATACCAATTTAACCCCCTTGGGGGGGGAATATGGGGGGGGCGAGGCCATTTATACCCCTTGGAGCCCAGATTTACCCTGTCAGGATCCCATTTACCCACTCAGGACCCAGATTTACCCTGTCAGGGCCCCATTTACCCACTCAGGACCCACATTTGCCCCCTCAGGACACCATTTACCCCCTCAAGACCTATATTCACCCCCGCAGCACCCCATTTACCCCCTCAGGACCTGTATTTATCCCCTCAGGACCTCATTTATCCCCCTCGGAGCCCATATTTACCCTTTCAGGACCCCATTTACCCCCTCTAGACCCAGATTTACCCCTTCAAGACCCCATTTACCCCCTCAGGACCCCATTTACCCCCTCAGGACCTCATTTATCCCGCTTGGAGCCCATATTTACCCTTTCAGGACCCCATTTACCCCCTCTAGACCCAGATTTACCCCTTCAAGACCCCATTTACCCCCTCAGGACCCTAATTTACCCCCCTCAGGACCCCATTTACCCCCTCAGGACCCAGATTTGCCCCATTGGAGCCCAGATTTACCCTTTCAGGACCCAGATTTATCCTTTCAGGACCCAGATTTATCCTTTCAGGACCCCATTTACCCCCTTAGGGCTCCATTCACTCCCTATATCCCCCTCCCAGCATCCCATTGGCCAGCGAGGAGGCGGGACCTCCGCACCGCCGCCTCTCATTGGCTGCCGGTTTCCCGCGGCTGGGGCTTGGGGGGCGGGCTCTTGGCTCGGCTCTGCGCGCTGATTGGCGGAGCGGGAGGGGGGGGGCGGGCAGAGGAGGCGGAGCGTTCCCGGCGTGCACCGCGCGACGGTTGGGGTACTGGGAGGTACTGGGAGCATCAATGGGGGCAATGGGAGCATCAATGGGGGGTAATGGGGGACAATGAAAGCATCAATGGGGGTAATGGGAGCATTAATTGGGGGGTAATGGGAGCATCAATGGGGAGGTAATGGGGGGCAATGGGAGCATCAATGGGGGGTAATGAGGGGCAATGGGAGCATCAATGGGGGTAATGGGAGTAATGGAAGCATCAATGGGGAGTAATGGGGGGCAATGGGAGCATCAATGGGGGGTAATGGGAGTAATGGAAGCATCAATGGGGAGTAATGGGGGGCAATGGGAGTAATGGGAGCATCAATGGGGGTAATGGGAGCGTCAGTGGGGAGTAATGGGGGGCAATGAGAACATCAATGGGGGGTAATGGGAGCATCAATGGGGCAATGGGAGCAATGGGAGCATCGATGAGGGTGTAATAGGGGGCAATGGGAGCATCAATGGGGGTAATTGGAGCATCAGTGGGGGGTAATGGGGGGCAATGGGAGCATCAATGGGGGTAATGGGAGTAATGGAAGCATCAATGGGGAGTAATGGGGGGCAATGGGAGTAATGGGAGCATCAATGGGGGTACTGGGAGCATCAATGGGGGTAATGGGAGCATCAGTGGAGGGTAATGGGGGGCAATGGGAGTAATGGGAGCATCACTGGGGGGTACTGGGAGTTACTGGGGCTCTTACTGGTCCTTACTGGGATTTAGGTGCCACCAATGGCCGAGCAGCCATCAGCGACTGGTGAGACCCTTCCCCCCCTCATAATGTGGGGGTCCCCCCACAGACACCCCCCCCATGATATGGTTCCTTCCACCTCCCCCCCCCCCCAGGTCTCATCCCCCCATCCCACTTCATGCTCCGCCCCCCCGGGCCCAACACCAGGTAAGGACCCCCCCATTGCTCCCAGTTACCCCCATTGCTCCCAGTTACCCCCAGGGCCTGGCTCCCCTTTGGCAGGACCCTGGAGGCGGAGCTTGAGGCCGAAAGGAGGCGGAGCCAAGCTCTGGAGGCGGAGCTTGAAGCTGAAAGGAGGCGGAGCCAAGCCCTAGGGGCAGAGCTTGAGGCCGAAAGGAAGCGGAGCCAAGCCCTGGAGGCGGAGCTTGAGGCCGAAAGGAGGCGGAGCCAAGACCAGGGGGCGGAGCCTATTGGAGGGCAGCCCCAGGAGGTGAGCACAGGCCTCATGGGGTCCCAATGGGGTCCCAATGGGGTCCCAATGAGGTCCCAATGGGGTCCCAATGAGGTCCTAATGGGGTCCCAATGAGGTCCCAACGGGGTCCCAACGAGGTCCCAATGAGGTCCCAATGAAGTCCCAATGGGGTCCCAATGAGGTCCCAGTGGGGTCCCAATGAGGTCCTAATGGGGTCCCAATGAGGTCCCAATGAGGTCCCAGTGGGGTCCCAATGAGGTCCCAATGGGGTCCTAATGGGGTCCCAATGAGGTCCCAGTGGGGTCCCAATGGGGTCCCAATGAGGTCCCAATGGGGTCCCAATGAGGTCCTAATGGGGTCCCAATGAGGTCCCAGTGGGGTCCCAATGGGGTCCCAATGAGGTCCCAATGGGGTCCCAATGAGGTCCCAGTGGGGTCCCAATGAGGTCCCAATGGGGTCCTAATGGGGTCCCAATGAGGTCCCAGTGGGGTCCCAATGGGGTCCCAATGAGGTCCCAATGGGGTCCCAATGGGGTCCCAATGAGGTCCCAATGAGGTCCCAATGAGGTCCCCCATTCCCCCCCAGTGCCAGGCCCAGTTCCTGCTCCAGGCCCGGCTCAGCGCCATGGGTCACATCCTGGCCCTGCAGGAGAAGGAGCTGAACCGTGAGGTAGGGGCTTGGGGGGCACATGGGGGGCTTGGGGTGCTATAGGGTGGCCCTGGTGGGGGGGGGAGGTTGGGTGCCATAGGATGCCCTTGAGGTGGGGTTTGGGTGTATAGGGTGCTCCTGGGGGAAGTTTGGGGTGCTATAGGGTGCCCCTTGGGGGAGTTTGGGGTGTTATAGGGTGCCCATTGCGGGGGGGTTAGAGTGCCAGAGGTGGCCTCTCTTGGGGGTTGGGTGCCATAGGGTGCCAATGGGGGGGGGGGGAGGGTTGGGTGCTATTGGGTGCCCCTGAGTGGGGGGGGGTGTGGGTGCTATAGGGTGCCCCTGGAGGAGGGTTTGGATGCTATAGGGTGCCAATGGGGGGGTGGGTTTGGGTGCTATAGGGTTTCCCTGGAGGAGGGTTTGGGTGCTCTAGGGTGCCAATGGGGGGGGGGGTGGTTTGGGTGCTATAGGGTTTCCCTGGAGGAGGGTTTGGGTGCTCTAGGGTGCCAATGGGGGGGTGGTTTGGGTGCTATAGGGTTTCCCTGGAGGAGGGTTTGGGTGCTCTAGGGTGCCAATGGGGGGGGTGGTTTGGGTGCTATAGGGTTTCCCTGGAGGAGGGTTTGGGTGCTCTAGGGTGCCAATGGGGGGGTGGTTTGGGTGCTATAGGGTTTCCCTGGAGGAAGGTTTGGGTGCTCTAGGGTGCCAATGGGGGGGGGTGTTTTGGGTGCTATAGGGTTTCCCTGGAGGAGGGTTTGGGGTGCTCTAGGGTGCCAATGGGGGGGTGGTTTGGGTGCTATAGGGTGCCCCCCTGTGCCCCCCAGCTGCCCCCCCCAGGGGTGCCGTTGGCCGTGGCCCCCCCCCGTCTGCGCCTGCTCTTGGGGTGCTGGAGGGAGAAGGTCTTCGCGCTCCTGGTGCAGCTGCGGGTGCAGGAGGAGCTGCAGCGGGTGCTGAGCGCACAGGTGGGTGCTGGGCACCCCTGTCCCCTATGGGTCCCATGGAGGGGGGGGGGGCTCAGGACCCATATGTGGGGTGCTGGGGACCCATAGGTGGGCAGCCTGGGGGCTGCGGTGGCTGCGGGGACCCGGAGGGTGACGCGGTTGGAGCTGAGGCTGAAGGAGAGGATGGAGAGAGGAGAAGAGCAGAGACAGGAAAACCAGGTGAGGGAATAGGGATATGGGAATGGGATTGGGATGTGGGGTATGGGGTATATGGGGTATGGGGTATGGGATATGGGGTATATGAGATATGGGATATATGGGGATATGGGGTATGGGGTATATGGGATAAGGGGTATGGGGTATATGGGGTATGGGATATATGGGATATGGGGTATGGGGTATATGGGATAAAGGGTATGGGGTATATGGGGTATGGGGTATATGGGGAATGGGATATGGGGTATATGGGATACGGGTTATGGGGACACGTGTAGGAACACGGTGCCCCTTGTCACAGCGCCTGGTGCAGGAGGTGACCCAGCAGCAGGCACGGGCAGAGGCGGCTGAGGAGGCACTGGGGGAACTGGCCCGGGCAGCTGCCAGGTACTGGGGGCACTGGGGTGATGCTGACCCCATATCCCATACCCCATATACCCCATATCCCATATACCCCATATCCCACACCCCATACCCCATATCCCACACCCCATATCCCATACCCCATATCCCATATACCCCATACCCCACATCCCATATACCCCATATCCCATATCCCATACCCCATATCCCACACCCCATACCCCATATCCCATACCCCATATCCCATACCCCATATCCCATATCCCATATACCCCATATCCCATATACCCCATACCCCACATCCCATATACCCCATACCCCATACCCCATACCCCATATCCCATACCCCATACCCCATATCCCACACCCCATATCCCATACCCCATTCCCTGTGGTGTCCCCAGGCTCGCCAGGGTGCTGGCAGCGCACGAGACCGCGGTGGCTGCAGCCACCAGGACCATGGACACCCTCAGCACCCGCCTGCGCCCGGGCAGGGCAGAGGCTCCGGGTGCTGCAGGGTATGGATAGGGGTCACCCCTTGTGTCGCCTCCAGGCCCCCCCCCATGAGGACAGGATGGGCCCCCCCCCCAGCAGAGGTAGGTCCCATCCCATTCCCCCCCCATGTCTCCCCATTGACCCGTCATGGGTCCCCCCCATGTCTCCCCATTGACCCCTCATGGGTCCCCCCCATGTCTCCCCATTGACCCCTCATGGGTCCCCCCCATGTCTCCCCATTGACCCCTCATGGGTCCCCCCCCATGTCTCCCCATTGACCCCTCATGGGTCCCCACCCATGTCTCCCCATTGACCCCTCATGGGTCCCCCCCATGTCTCCCCATTGACCCCTCATGGGTCCCCCCCCATGTCTCCCCATTGACCCCTCATGGGTCCCCCCCCATGTCTCCCCATTGACCCCTCATGGGTCCCCCCCCATGTCTCCCCGTTGACCCCCCATGGGTCCCCCTCCCATGTCTCCCATTGACCCCTCATGGGTCCCCACCCATGTCTCCCCATTGACCCCCCATGGGTCCCCCCCGTGTCCCCTCAGCTGCGCTGGGCTCCCTGGTGACGCAGCTGCAGGCTCTGGTGCCTCCATCCTTGGGGACAACGGGGACCCCCCTGACCCGGTGAGTCCCCCCCCCAGCCCTGCAGTGGGGGTCCCACCAGTCTGGACCAGTAAGGCACTGGTGGGACCCTGTGTGTCCTCCTCCTGCCAGTTTATCCCAGTCACTTCCTGCTTCTCCCCATCCCGACGCCCAAACTCTTTTTATTTCCTTTCTTTTTTTACAGCTTTGCCCTTTTTGGCCTCTTTTTAACCCAATTAAAGCTCGTGGTTTGACATCACCGCCTCCTCTTGGCGCGGCGGGCGGCACAAGGACCCGGGCTCCGCTCTACCCCCCGCCCCGCGCGCCCCAATTGGCCGCCGCCCTCCCCGCTCCGCGCGCTGATTGGCCGATGGCGAAGCCGTGATTCCGCCGAGCCCCGAGCCTTAAAGGGCCCGAGCCCCGTTGCCCGTTCACTCGCAAGCCCAGCAGCCCGCTGCCCAACGCGGCCCCTGGCACAGCGGCCGGTGCTTATCGAGCCCGCTCGCAGGCGGAAACGGGTCCCGCAGCGCTCGCAGGCCCGCCCGGCCCCGTCGTGGGTCTTCATGTGCTCCGTCAAGTGATGCTTGAGCTTGAAACGCTTATGGCAGGCGCCGCAGGAGAAGGCCGCAGGGCTGAAGGTGAGCATGATGTGCCGGTCCCGCTTGGGCTTGACGGCAAAGCGCTTCCCGCACAAGCAACCGAAGCGTTTCCCATCCGGAGCCGCTCCCAGCTCACCGGCGCGTGCAGGGGCGGAGCCGGCCCAGGATCTCGTTGCCGTGCAGGTCCACGGGCTTCCAAGAGGGCTTGGTTGAAAGATGGAGGCGGCGGCGGCGGCGGTGGTGGCGGTGGTGGCGGTGGTGGTGGTGGTGGTGGTCACCAGCGCGGTGTTCGTGGTACCCGAGCCCGGCGGAGGATGCGGCTCAGCACGGATGCAGGCTCGGTGGCTTCGCCGGCTTCTTGCTTGATGTAGAAGACTTTAGGGGGGTCGTGGGTGTCTCTGGGCGCTCCGTCCTCTTCTCCTCCTCCTCCTCTTCCTCCAGCACGATCTGGAGGGCGTCAGCGGCACGATGGGCGCCGTCTTCATCCTCCTCTTCCTCCTCTTCCTCCTCCTCCTCCTCCTGCACGCAGATCTTGAGGACCTCCTCGCCCGCCTCCTTGGGCCATGGAGGGGAGGAAGGCCCATCCGCAGCACGGCTGGTCCAGGATGATGCCAAAGCCCCATCACCATGGGTGACGCATTGAGGCCCATCCCCAGCACGGCTGGCCCAGGGCGATGCCAAAGCCCCGTCACATGGGTGACACATGAAGCCCCATCTCCATCACGGGTGACGCGGGAAGATCCATCTCCACCATGAGTGGTCCAGGACGATGCCGAAGCCCCGTCTCTACCACGGACAACACACGAAGCCCCATCTCCAGCACGTTGGTCCAGGACGATGCTGAAGCCCCATCTCCACCATGGCTGATACACAAGCCCCATCTCCACCGTGGGTGAGGCAGGAAGATCCATCTCCACCATGGGTCATGCATGAAGCCCCATCTCCACCACGGTTGGTCCAGGACGATGCCGAAGCCCCATCTCCGCCATGGGTCATGCACGAAGCCCCATCTCCACCATGGGTCATGCATGAAGCCCCATCTCCACCACGGTTGGTCCAGGACGATGCCGAAGTCCCATCTCCACCATGGGTACCGCACAAAGCCGCAGCTTCCCCCCACGACCACCGGATGCCGACGAGGCCGAGGCCGCCGCCGCTGCCCCCCACCGGCACCCCGTCCCCCCTCCATCTCCCGGAAGGATCTCGGAGCACTGATCCACCACGTGCCACATCTGGAGCCCGCTGGCCACCAAGAGATGCCCGGGCAGGGCATCCAGCACCAAACTCAACCGCCCGGAGTAGATGAGGTGCAAGAGCCCTTCGAAGCATCGGGGTCGATGGCGGGGGGCAAAAGCAACCGGGCCCCATCCTGCAGCAGGAGCTTGTCATGGAAGAAGGGGGACGCGGCGGCCAGGACGCTCTTATGGGCCGGGAAGACGCGGCCGCCGACGTGGACGTGGACGTCGCAGAACTTGCCCCTCCAGGCGCAGGAGGTTGAGGGACTCGAGCAGCGAGGCCGCGTGCTGCGGGAAGGAGATCTGCACCCGGCCCCCCATCCGGCACGGCCCTGCTTGGGGGGGGGGAACGACAGCACCCATGGGGTTCACTGCTGCCCCATGGGGCCTGATTGCCCCTTGAGGATTGCCAATAGCCCCATGGGGGCCCCCGATAGCCCCTTGGGGTCTCCAGTAGCACCTTGAGGGTCTCCAATAGCACCTAGAGAGGTCCCTATAGTGGCAGGGGGGTCCCTGATAGCATCTAGAGGGGCACAATAGCGCCTTGAGAGTCCCAATAGCACCTTGAGTATCACCAGTAGCACCTTGAGCAGTCCCTATTACCCACATGTGCCCCTATAGCCCCTTGGTGGTCCCCAATAGCACCTTGAGGGGTCCCTAGTACCCGACATAGGGCCCTATAGCCTCTTGGTAGTCCCCAATAGCACCTTGAGGAGTCCCTAGTACCCCACATAGGGCCCTATAGCCCTTGAGGGCCCCAATAGCACCTTGAGGGTCCCTAATAGCCCCATGTGGGCCCCAATACCCCTTGAGGGGCCTCCAGTAGCACCTTGAGGGATACCTATAATGCCAGGGGGGTCCCCAATAGCCCCATGGGGTCCCCAATAGCACCTTGAGGGATGCTATAGACCCAGGGGGGTCCCTATTACACTACATGGGCCCCTACAGCAACTTGAGGATCAGCAATAGCACCTAGAGGGGTCCATATAGCACCTTGAGGGTTCCTATGGCACATTGAGTGTTGCCAATAGCGTCGAGGGTTCAAATAGTCCCTTGACGGGTCCCCACAGCCCCGGGGGGTCACTATACCCTCATAGGTCCCTATAGCCCCTTGAAGATCCCTATTGCCCGCAGGGTGCCCGTATACCCCCTTGACAGGTCCCTATAGCCCCGGAGGGGTCCTATCACCCCACATTTGGCCCTATAGACCCTTATGTGCCCCTATAGCCATGGGGATCCCCCACACCCCCTTCACCCCCAACCCGAAAGCCCCGATTCGCCCCATCCGCGTCCCGCGCTCACCCCGGGCGCCTCCGAACGGTAACGTCACCAGCGAAGCTCCGCCCACCCCCAATACGTATATGTTGACGGAGGAGGAAAGACCAAACCCACCCCCCCCCAAAACCACTGCGGTTGGTACGGCCCGACCAAGATTTAGGGGGAGCGGTCGAAACAAAGCGCTACCGGATGCGTTGGCAGGACCAGAAACGAACACAAACCTACCCCAAACGCATTTAAACCTGGCCCTAAAACTAACCATAACCCTAACCATAATTGTAATGCTAAACTTAATCTTAACCCTACCCTTAACCCTAAACCTAACATTATCCCTATCCTTAACCCTAACACTAACTTTAACACTAACCTTAACCTTAAATGCTAACCCTAAACTTATCCCTAACCCTAACCCTCACCTTAACCTTAACCCTAGCCCTAATCTACCCTTAACATTAACCCTAACCTTGACCTTAACCCTAACCCTGACCTTAACCCAAACCCTAAACTTAGCCTTAACCTTAATCCAAACCTTAACCTAAACCCTAAACTTAAACTTAACCCTAACCCTAACCTTAAACTTTAGCCTTAACACTAACCCAAACCTTAGCCTTAACCTTAACCCTAACCTAACCTTAGCCTTAACCTTAACCCTAAACTTAACCTTAACCCTAACCTTAACCTTAAACTTTAGCCTTAACCCTAACCCTAACCTTAACCTTACCCTTAACCCTAACCTTAACCTTAACCCTAACCCTAACCCTAACCTTAGCCA